CCGTTCTCTACCAAAACTCCGGGAATTCGGGATCCTGAGGGGAAACTTCACTCCACCAAACAAAAGCCCGAAGTCTTTTGCAAGTACCTCACGCAGCATGTTTGGAAGAGTGCTGGCGAGCAGATGCCTCCTCAAAGTATGTTGCACCCAGTAATTCCGGAATTCTTCCGCCCCTTTACGGAAGAGGACTTGTACCAATGCATGAAACAATTACAGGTAGGCAAAGCCACAGGGCCGGACGGGATCCCTGCTGAGTTGATCAAGCGTGCGCCGTATGTGGTCCAAAAGTTTATTCTTTCCCACTATAACAAGTGCCTCCGCACGGGCTCCATCCCGGACGCATGGTTGCTCTCGGAAGTGGTCATGCTGGTCAAAGATGCTCGCAAAGACACGCTTTCGCTCGACAACTATCGGCCTATCTCGCTAACGGATGTTTTCTATAAGTTGTATGCCGCTCTTTTGCAGAAAAGATTAGCTTTCTATATCGATCCTCGCATACGAGACACGCAATATGGTTTCCGTCGGGGTAAATCGACGTCTCAGCCAATTCACATATTGCGTCGGTTAATCGAAACGCATGAACGACAGCAGTCCCCACTACATATATTGTTTGTCGATTGGGCCAAGGCCTTCGACAGCGTGTCTTTTGCAGCCATAGAGCGTTCTTTGGTCAGATTGGGTGTCCCCGCAGCGTTCGTGCGGGCCGTCATGGCCATTTACAACAACCCTCAGTTTCGAGTGAAAGATTCGGGCTCAACCTCCGAAGTTGGTGTTCAATCTCGTGGCGTTCGGCAAGGTTGTCCACTCTCTCCTTACCTTTTTGATATCATATTGACATGTTTGTTTGCAGATGTTGAAGCATCATACGAGGAACAGTTCGGTATTCTGACTGGGGTCCTGAGGCTCCCGTCTTGTTTGTGGGATTTGGAGTACGCGGACGACACGGTACTTATGTCACACACATATGTGCAGTTAAACCGACTTCTCCATTTGTTGCAATTTCATGCTCTAAAGATTGGGCTCCAGCTCAATTTGGACAAGTGCAAACACCTCCCCATCCATACAAACCATAGAGTCCAATACACAGCAGATCCGCGCAGTGCGTGTCAGTGCTTCTGTTGTGGAGGCCAGTCGCAGGTACATGGAGGACATATTCCCGTTGCAGATGAAGTAAAGTATCTCGGTGTATGCTTGGATGCCACGTGTAGTGCAAGAAGTACCGTCAGCCAGCGAATCTCCAAAGCAGTTGCTGCTTCGAAACAGTTAAAGCCGTTTTTCAGCCATTCGGGGCTGCCCTGTAAATGGAAGCTCACTGTGTATCGATCTATTGTGATGTCGATTTTGGCGTATGGGATGGAGTCCTGCAATTTGTCCCCGTCCCAACAGCGTAGGGCAGACTCGTTTCACTTCAAGAATTTGCGGCGGATCTTTCGGAAGAAGTCCTCGTACTACCATAGGGTCATAGCACCTTCCGAAGCTCCATGCTCAAACGAGTATCTCACAACGATGGCTAATCGATTTTTGGTGGTACCCACACCCTCGCAGCAATTCTCCTTTAATCGGTTGAAATTGCTTGGACACATTCTGCGACACCCGGATAGTCTTGAAAATACATCTACTTTCATGTCCTCCAAAGCTTACCGTTTTCTCCGAGGCGGTAATAGGTCCGGCAGGCCCACACCGCATTGGGCGGAAGTTTCCATGGCAGAGGCATATCTCCGACTGCAGCGTGGCAGCGGCGAAAGACCCGAAATCACAAACATTCATCATGATTATTGGAAGTCTCTCTCTGCACGTGATGTAAGACAGTGTCACTCTGCCGACAGGTTGCCGATGATGGACAATACTCGCTTGTACCGCAGAATCAACCCCGTAGCCCAAGATCGAATCTCATGGCAAACGCTTCTTACACGACCTCCAAAAAAACGTTTCGCTCAGAACTGCTGAGGTTTGATGGGCGTAGCTGTTTGACGCAACGCCTTGCACAAAGAAAAAAAAAACTTAGACATGATAGCTTGGCATTGCAAGATTGATGGTAGGCTGACTGGCTGGCTGACTGATTCATTGACCGAGCATCTGCAAAGAAAATTTCGCTTGCCTGATTTTCTCGCACGTACTCAAACACGTGCATCTGACGGTGGAAACACTCACAACTCCCCTGAAAGACAAGCCATCTACGCCGCAAGTTTTCCTCACTCTCACAATTGCTTCCGGCGCCAGGCAAGAAGTCTTTGACTGCAAGCGAGCTGCAGGGGGCCAGTCATGTTGAAGTTATGGAGAGCTCCTCAAAGGACACCTGCTTCTCATTTGCCCCAGGAAGATCGACATCATTCGTGTGTTGCACGAAGTCCAAATTCCGACCAGCCGGAACAGATGCTCCCTAACGTGTGGGACGTCGGATTCTAGCTGTCACATTCAAACACGTCATGGCCTGAACGGACCTGGACCTGAACCTGTGACGACAGCAACCCCCAGGGATCCGAATTTCACCCGTCACTCATCCGGCCTGAAAGAATGTATGGCTAACAGTCTTCAAGCTCAGCCTCGGCATGCAGATCTCAAGCTTGACGAATGACTTCAAGCTTCCCCGTTTGGCCGAGGCCTCTGCCGGGCTGAGGTGTGGAGAGTGTTAGCACAAATAGGAGTACGTAAATTGGGCTCAACGGAGAACAGAGCCTCAAAATGGCTGCGGGAAGTGTGGCTGGAGTCAGGAAGCCGCGGCTGCACTCCCAACAGTGGCAGTTGCCAGTCTTTCCTAGTTTTCCCTCACTCCCCGTCGCTGAAGAACAGATCATCGGTCGTGCTCACGCCCGCGGGGCGTGGAGGCCCCTTGGGCAAGGCAGGCTCCTCCGGCTGAAAAACAAATCCATGCAAATCCTGCTCAGAGCAGAGCAGGGAGGCCCTGCTGCGCCCTGTCCTCGGGCTTTGGCGGAGCTGCGGCCGGGGCAGCCACGGTAAGGTCCCTCGCTGGGACAGGCTCCTGAAGGGAAGGAGGGCTCTCGGCCGTGCCATAGACATTTGCACTACTATAGTCTTGGTCTCCATTCTTTATGCGCCAAAACTCCGCGAACTGCCCTAGATTGGAGATCGGCTTGGGCATGTGTCAATCAAGGAAAGTCACGGATACATAAGTCGGCAGATGCTCTGCTACACGGAGGCTTTTCCATCATCAAAGCTGTACACTCTCTTTAGAATGCTGGCTCCAGAGAATTTTGGGGCCGTGTTGGCATGAGGTCACCCACGTCTACACTTGCCTCTTAACGTTCGGAAGCAGCAAGGTGTGAAGCTCCTGCTTAGCGTATCTCTGACTGTTGCCCTAGGACCTCAATATCCGGACTGTCGTGGGTGGCCGCATGCAGCCCCGCATCTCAACACTACGGGCAGCACACCGCAAAATAACGCAAACAAAAGCAGGCAATGGGGCCTTTCTGCCGGGTTCAGGCTTTGCTGGCTGAATCAGTCCTACGAGTATCAATCTTCTGCCGAACTGCTTCGATGTCTCTGTCACTGCGGCAGAGGCTCTTAGACTGCCTGAAGCACATGGGGGAGTGCATAACTCCTCTTATGAGGGCTGTACTCCATGACAGTGCCTCCGTGGTGAAGCTCAGAAGCCACAAGTTTCTCAACAGCCGGCAGCGACTATGATCTGGTGTTGAGCAACATCAAAAAATCCGGATGCCGCCGACGATCGGACAGCATGAGCCACCTTGGGAAGAGAAGCTTGACCTGACCTAGCTGGAATCTGAGGCATCCTGGGGAAAAGACGGGAAGCCCCAATCTCGGAAGTGTTGCACATGAGACGCGGGGGAAATGGAGAAAGCCTTCGACCTGCTTCTTGGACGCATCATGCGGGGTATCACGAAGGACTGCCTCAGAGCCTTCGGACCAGCACGGTCTGCAGGAGCCTCCGATGCTGAGGGAGAGTCGGAGGCAGCATCGCTCGGAGACATGGCATTCCTACCGGTCTCCTCCACATCAATGGGCAAGCTCGGCAGGCCGTCGTGCAGGCTGCCGTGCTGTGGAACACCCTCTTCTTGCGTCTCGGCATCACACCTTGACACGTTCGGAGGGGGCTCAGCTGGCCCTGCTTGACGGGTTTCCGCAGGTGAGCAACTTTTCATGGCCTCAAGCTGCATCACTTCGAGAGTTCGCTTGTGCTGCTTAAGTTCGAGAATCTCTGCATCTCCGCTGCTCTCCGCCAGGTGACAAATATACATCTGAAGCAGAAAGCCCACATGCGACAGCACATTCATTTGCTGGAGCCAGTGCTCTAGATGGAGCCTGCAGTGCACTCCATGGCCAAATGCCCTGATCTCAACTGATACCTCCATACACGGATCACACACAAGCTGCTCACCGCCCTGGGCGCTTGAGCCTGCAGCTCGTCCATGTGCAGTCTGGTGGCTAGATCCTAGGCCTAGATTCGAACTTGACAGCGCAAACCCGAAAGATCCAATAAACCCGCACGTCTGGCCGACCTCATCTGAAGGCGGGTCGAACAGGCTCATCGTTGGAGGCATGCCAGATGTCACTGTGGGAGGCGGCATCATGAGGCCCTGCCACTACGCCATCGAAAACAAAGGTAACTGAACTGCTCTCATGCGCAGATATCTGTGGCCTCTCGCCTGCCAGCATCCGCCAGGAATTCTTATCCGGCCTGCGTGACAGTTCCAGCGGGTAGCGTACCCGCAGCACGGCCGGCCGGGCTGCCCGGCGCTGCGGGTGCATCATCCACCTCCACAACACATGACGCGCAAGCTCTCGATACAGAAACACCCAAACCGAAACATTGTTGATGTCTTCAAGCATTTGTTCATCTCGTCACATGGTGAGGCGCACCCCGCAGGCCACATCTGAATCGTTCCATGATGTGGCCTCCTTCCCACACAAGCCGAAATAGAGAAGCTACAGCGACTACGATGATTACCTCTACCAGTCCTCCTAGCGGTCCCAGCGGCAACAGCTGGCAGTCCCCAACTCACTTTTGCAGGCCTCGTCCCAGGGGCGCTTGTCTCCTCTGGGGCTCCGTGGCCGCTCCCCTCAAAAGAGTGGCACAAGGTCGGCCCCCCTCCCTGCGTAGCACTGCGTGTGTGAAGACAAGTGTGTACACACGGACAGATACTGCACTGCATGAATGTTTTTGTATTTGTATGTGTACATGTTATACAGAGGGAGGGCCTCGGGAGGACAACACCCACGAAGTCCCACGAAGCTCGCCCGGACTGTGCTGTTGGCAGTAAGCTGCATGAGCTCTATCGATGCTGTCAGTCGCGCATGATGCCAGGTTCGATTGCTGGAGAATCCCTGGCACTGCCAGTGTCGGCGTCGGGCCCGGCTACTGAGCCAGAGGAGCCACGATTGGAGGCCCTGGTTGACCCTCGTCATGTACATAACCTTTCAAACCCACGTAACGCTCCAAAAGCTCACGCTGGAGATCCGGTCAGTCGCCTTCCAGCACAGCCGCCCCTCGTCCCCTTCCACGGCGCCCTGCTGCTCGGGCTTTCGAGCTTGCAAACGTCGGAGTCACGCAGGATTCCGTAGATCGGGAAAGCCAACGAACGGAAAAAAAAATGCCTGAAGAGTGACATGCACAATCCTCCATGTCAACTGCGATGAAGGCTTAAGCATGACGCCAGCCCAGAATCACGAACCGTACGAACATCCTAAGCCTGTGTAGGCCTCCACCACGACCTCTGCGACCACGCCCTCGGACCTCCATCGGCTCCTGAGGCAAAACTGCAGGGCTGACTCACACCCAGACCACTCCGTACACTTGCCCCTCCTCCACAGCTGCTGGTTTGGGAGCTGCAGCTGCAGCCTTAGAACACTAGACAACGAGGCACAATACAAAAGCTGGAAGAGGCTCTGCAAACCCGTCGTGAACCAATGAGGGCAGCATGGCATATACTTCTAGGTCTTACTGGTAACGCATCAAGACGAGTCTCGCATGGTGTAAGATGGGACGTTTGCGAAACAGACACACCACAGCAAACCGTACCACCGCCGTGTTCAAGCGAATCAAGAGTCCGGCAGCAGCGCCCTGCTGGTTCCATCGGCGCACCTGAGCAGGTCGGGCATCCAGGCATCCCACATCTGGCTACAGTCCGTCTGCTGAGTAGACTTCGGAGCCATGACAAAGCCAGGGCACCAGGATAGCCACTAAAACAAGAACCTAATACAAACTCGAATTCTGCGCTTGCAAAGCACTCCGACCTGGAGTTCTTCGTGCAGTGCCCGCTCCTTGCACGAGGCAAGGTAACCCCGATCTGAGTGTGTCGCAGGCAGTCGCCTTGTCAATCTTGGCCTGCAAGACGAGCGCAAAGCGCTGCAGAAGACCACGGTGCCGCTTCTTCGCACCTGCCTAGGAAAAGCAAACTCTGGAGGCTCCAGTGCAGCCGAGACCCTGTGCCCGGAGCATCCGAGTGTCGGGCACAGGCCTTGGTCCAGTCCCCTTCCAGGCGGTCCATCTCGCTTTGGAGGCCCTGACGGGACCCAGCATCCATCAAAACTCGTTATCTGCTCTCGAACCGCCTCCATGGAAACCCGGCTCTCAGCGATCGCTTTCGTGTGCAGCGCCTGCGCCGCCGCGACGGCCCTGGCTGGCAAAAGGACACTGAGGCGCAACAGCACAGATCGCATCCCAAGGCTGTGCTCTCTAGGACAGATCGTCTCTAGCCCAACAACCAACCAGCCGGAGCCGCACCTGAGCACCTCGAGAGTGTCGCTGCGGGCAGATCTGCCGGACCTGAGGCTCGGAACGTCGTCGAAGACGGCGCAGCATCCCGCAGCATCCCGCTGAATGCTGAGACGCCCGACGAGTAGGCGTTGAGGATCTCGACGACGCAGCCGCTCAAGGAGATCCCAGTTCCTCCGTAGACCTGACTCCTGAAGTGGACGTCGATGACCAGGCGACCTGGCGCACGGCGCAGCCGCACCTCGTCGTGGTTGGGAGGAGCGCCGCGACGCTGCTCTGCCATTACGGCCATGAGCCTCTGCAGCTGAGTGGTGCTCCAGGCCGCCAGAGGGGGCTGCAGGTGATGCTTCTGCAGCCGCGCTTCCAAGAAGTCCAACTCCTGGCCCTGGCCGCCTTGGCCGTTTTGGCCCATGTGGAGTTGCAAGATGCACAAAGGCTCGTCATCCTCAGGCATCTCCGGTAGGCTGCGATGCCAGTGGAGTAACACATCGGCGGTCTCACCAGCCGTGGAGTCCCAAACGGAGAACACTGGCACAGGAGGCGCAGGAGCCACTTGAGCTGTGGTTGGACCCACTGCCAAAGAAGGCTCTGAAGCAACAGACATCGCAGCTCACAAATGCATCCCATGCAACCGCACAGGCTGCATGGCAGGCAGCTGCGAAGTAGTACCACAAGTTGAGGTTTACTTAAGATCTTGTTAGGGCATCGGCAATATCTACGGGACTGTCAGCTGTCTTGCACTGGTCCTGCGGTGACAATTGGGGGCCCGGAGGCTCGGGCAGTGATGGCAGCAGACTTAGAGGCCAGGCTCCCCTTCGGCGGAGCCTATGCGCAAGTAGATCGCCTAAGTTCGTCCAAGTGAGAGAGCTTCGCTCGCGGTCCGGTCCACGAGCGCCTGTCTCTCCATTTATAACACGGAGCTGGCTTTGTCCGGACTTTTGCGTTGACCCTACATATGGCAAGCAGCCTGCTCAGCTGAAGCTCGAGTTCAGAGGATACTCTCATTTACGTTGCTGCCTGGCTTCAGCTGCGCTTGGCTTCAGCCGATCTCTGCACAAAATTCAGCAGATTTACGGCAGCTGAACGGGAATGGACGGGAAATGTGGGCAGTCGCCTGGCGAGATGTCACACCACCATGGCACGAGTCTCGGCAGCCTCACTAAGGACTTCGGCCGCAAAGACAAGCCTCAGGGAAAAGGTGATGCGTTGCACTCTGGGAGAAAGTGCCGAGAAGCCCCTCAGATGCAGGCAGCTTCCTTGACTCGATGGCCTTTGGGGGAGGCGTCAGCCTGGCGTCAGTGGTCGCTCTGCCAGTCGCAAGACGCTCAAGTCGCGGGCGGCACCCCAAGCGGTCCAGGTGCTCGTGAAGGTCCGACGAGGTGCTGCCTTTCAGCCAGCTCCCGCTGTCTCTGCCAGCCTCAGGTATCCGGCTGCACCACCTCGTTTGTCAAGGTACACACGAGGCCCCGTCCAAAGCGACCAGGGCTGCTGCCTGTGGCAAGGTTCATGAGATTCCGAAGCTCGGCTCTCCACTTTGACATTCGTCAAGGCCTCTTCTGGGTGCTGCACGCCGGCTATCAGGATTTCCGAGCGTGTCACCACGTGTGTCTCCTGCGCTTCTACAAATTTCGAGGCAAGCAGGCTGTGTTTGCAACAGGTCCCTGCGTGGGTGCGGGGGCGCTTCTGTTGCCTGTACGCTAGATCATGGCATTGGTAAGAGCTGAACGGCTTTTGCCACAGGCTTTGACTGCATCTCCTCGATTGTCTCTTGGGACGTTTTGTCCTTCTTTTGGCTCGTCCAGGTCACGCCTCAGTACATCCACGGCAGCATCCTTCAGATTCTACTCCCATTGCTGTCTGATCAAATCCGATGAAACATGCAGTTCGAATCAAAGACACGAAAGCAGTGCCAACAAAGTGCAGCAAAAACTTTGAACGATTGCACGATTGGTCGCACAGACTGCCACAGCAAGACAGACCTTTCCCACGTCCACCCTTTACAAGCACCCTGTAATTCAAGCACAATGCTAACCACTGACATGATCTGCGCTTAAACCTCAGGTCAGGGGTAAAGGAAGGAAAAGAAGACCTGCAGAGCTTTGAGCACCAAGCTTGCCTCAAGCAAATTCTTTTCAGCCAACTTGCTCAAGATCAAGACAACCACTGCGACTCAGGCACTTTGCCGCCTCTCACTCGTCTCGCTGTCAGCATCACTGTCAGCATCAGCGTCGAGAGCCTGCCAAGCGCGTTTTTGCTCTCACAAAAAGAGCGACAGTTCCTCCAGACTCACAGGTCCCAAAATGGTCCCAACCCGTCAGGGGCTGCACCTCTGGCAGCTTGGGCCGATTTTTCCTGTTGAAGGGCTTGAGCTCGCCGGTGTAAGGCTTCGTAAACGCCTGCTTGGCCAAACGCGGCACTCTCTTTTGCCCGTTCTCGCAAGACGGCAAGGTGCGATGCATGGCAGCTCAGACCAGAACCTGGAGCAAATCATCTCGATCCTTGGCGTAGGGCTCGGAAGCCTCCGCCCCCAAAAGTGGATCCAAGTACCTCACAGTCTCACAGCCCGAGGGCTCAGGGAGAAGCACAGCTGGCACAACCGCCTTGTCTGCATTTTGCCCAGGCTTGTCTCTGGATCCCGCCTGCGGTGAACGCAAGAGCCAGGTGCATTGCAGAGGTTTGACGCACCAGAGCCTTGTGAAGACACGCTTCCCCTTCAGGAAATCCTGACGCTGCTTGAGATGAGAGGAGCTTACACACCCTATCAGCACTCGACCTTCCAAGGAAAAGCACTTTGAACGGAACTGCACGAGAAGACCAGACCCCAAGATAGGCAACGCCGGAGGTCCTCCGAGGCCTCCCTGTCCCAGCCGCCATCTTCCATGACCTGCACAAGGAGCGCCTGTGTAGGGTTGAGGGCTTAGGGAAGCTTGGGGCATGCAGGCTGCACAAGTCGGAGGGACTATCTGCTAGAATCTCTGCTCCATCCTTGAATCTCTGCTGTTGCGGGCGACTCTTTCGCCGCGGTTATCTTCATACCAACTTACGAAATCCGTAGCTTCATCCAGTCGGAGGGCGCTGCTTGCTGAATGCGACAACATGATGCCCGCCAACTGATGAAGCTGAAAGCCAAAATCACAGCGAGACGTAGCCTAGTAGGAGTACTTATCTACCTACGTAGTTTGTAGAAGTCGCCCATAGTCGCTGTGGTGGCGCTCTTGGGTCCCTCCCCGGCGCCTGCAGCATCGCCTGACCCGCAGGTCCGAGCTCGGACTCGGGCTCCTGGCTCCCACAAAGACTCTCGGGTTTAGGGCTTAGGGGTTTAGGGTTTAGGGTGACGAGGAAAAGGAGCGCTCTACGGCTTGTATAAGGGCTGCGCAAAAAAGCATCTACTCTCAGGGCGGAAACACGACAAAGGGTGGGTTGGGGGCCGTGCCCTGCACGTCTTACGAGTAGCATCTCGGGAAGAGGTGTCGGGTCTCGCAAGCTAGGAGGGTCAAATCTGCTCAGAGTGATGTCTGCAGTTGGTCGGAATTCCGAGCTTGGTCGTAAACAAGTTCTGCACAATGAAAGAACATACGAACAGAACTGGTCGGTCCGCGAAACCGCCTCTGGGCGGGTATGGAGGAATTCTGAAAAGCTTTTGCTTGCAGCACGCAGCGGCAGCAGCAGTATTCACCTATAAGTTTGCCCTAACAAGGAAAACACAGGCACTGGATGCACACGTCACGTGCATTTCCCACAAGGGGCCAAGTGCTTAACTCAACTCTGAACCTGGTAACCTTCGTTTCTGCCGTTCGCTTTGATCATTTGATCGTGCCGGGCTCTGCGCTCGAGTATTTACCGATCAATGTCTTCTTGGTCTCCATCATGTGCAGCCTGGGCCCTGCCACTGTGCAAACCAGGACCGGGCCACCTCCTGCTCCGCGAGACTCCCGGCGACACTTTCCATGACCTGCCAGGGCCACAAGTCACCTTGTGCCGGATGCGTCTAAGATCTGTTCGAGCTGAGATTGCCAGGAGAAGGTCTGAACAACTTGCGGCGCTCTGTCAGGCCGGATACACTTGAGAGCATCAAACAAGATGGGACGGGGGGGGGACGTTGGGAGTGATTCGCTGCAATCCGGAATCCCGGATTAGGAGTTCCGTCTGAAACGAAAAGTACAGACATGAATAGACGGCGTGGATGCAAGTCAGTCCCTTGCGGTCTTGTGGCTTAGTTTCAGGCAGTGTAGCTTGCACCCTCCAGCCCTCCAGCCAGGCCTTTCCTGCGAGATCGACATCGCCGAGAGCATGGGCCGCTTGCAGCAAGGCCTGCGAACCAAAGGCGACCTCTGAATCCTGTGGAGCCCTGTCCCTCTTGACGTCCATACAACATCACCCCCACCCCTCCCCCCCTCCACAACTTGCAGACGCCCAAGCCTTGCAGTCCATGGCGGTCGGCCTCACCTCGGGCACTCGGCGCTTGGCTTGCAGCCAATATGAGCAGCCTGTAAGGACATTGCTGTCGTTTAGAGTGAACTGGGACGCCAAAGACTGTGCACCAATTTTGTAGAAAGCTGACTGCTCGCATGCAGACTCGCAGAATAAATGCCACAAGCAAAGGAACTGAGACATGCATGAACATAATCGCCATGGTATCTTGGATTGCTGAACCATTCTCCGGTCACTGGCTGAGTGCTCCACCCCGATGTCGTGCAAGGTAGTCAGAATCTCCAGTGCCTGGTGGGATGGAGTGCACGAACGGGGAAAAGGCAATCTTGACAACTAGAATGCATGTCGGTTTTCCGATGTTCGGCCGACTTGGACGGGCGGGACGGGGGGCGGGACGGGAAAGACGGGACCAAAAAAAAACGGGACGGAATGGAACGGGCAGGATGGGACTCGGACCGCGGGAAGAGTCGATGTCATGAAGTAGTCTTCGATGCCCTAGAGTCTTTTCTCGATCGGGTGTGTAGCTCCCTAACACTGGAGTCACTGCAGTTCAGATGCGAGTCTACATTGTGATTCTCTCACACTTGCGCATTATGTGGAATCGAGCTCTAGCAAAGAGCAATTAGTAAGTCAAGCTATCCGAGTCGGCCCTCAGCCAGGTGCCAGCTGCAGCTCGTCTTTGGCGCTCCCGTCAAGCTGCTCATCCTCCTGCGGGGGCTACAGAACCATCTGTTCCGAAACTGGAGGCCATGTTTCCGAACACGATCTTTCGGTATCAAAGAAGAACAGAAAGCGCTGCCTTCAGCTCAGAGAGAAGCTTCTCCTGCAGTGCAGAAAATTTCTTGATTCGACACAGCACTGGATGTGGACTTCGCACTCAATGTGGGCTTCACCTTCTTGCTCTACAGGGTTTCGACAAATTTTCGAGCCCCGGCATCGTGCCTCCACGCGAGCGGACAATTTGGTACCTGAGCAGATCGAGTTCGACAAAGCAACTGCGACGCAAGACCAGCACCAGGCAACGATTGCACTGAGAAGCCCACCCATGATTTCCGTGCTGCGCTCGGAGCATAGGAACTGGCAAAGCCAAGAGGCACCCAAGAGGGTTCAGGGTCAGGGCTCATGTCTTAAGCCTAGGCTTCAGAGCTGCCACCTTCCAGGCTTCCTGCAGCT